ACAGGGACCGTGAAACTCGCGAGGTTGTCTGTGATTTCGCCACGTGCAACATCCACCATTTACCTACACTTAGCACACTTTTATTGCTTATTTCTTTGACGTCACTGCAAAGCTGCGACGTGATAACTGAACTTGCCAGGATACGGTTCTTAGGAATTCATCTCCAGAGACGTTCCCCTACATTTGACAAAGTTCGTGAGTTGAAATATAATAGGATATGAAGATTGAATGACGTTGCCTAATACGTGAACTACAATGTACACGATAAGGTAATGTGACTGGCCATTAATTTAATGATGCTAGGCGAAGTCCAAATAGGCTGGAAGTGTGAAAATATCATTTGGGAATACTAGAACCTTTTATTTTTTTCTTCCTATTTTTTTTAACATTTCCCCCAGTACCTTTCTACTCTCCGTTTCTTTAGAAAGGATCACAATAGTCGAAGACTTCTGTTCCCAGATCATGCGCCAAAAGTCAGGGATCGCATCAGGTATGGGCGCTTGGGTAGCAATAAACGCTCTTCTCATCATGTATCGTCGATGAAGTTAGCGTTGATGTAGTCAGAGCCTTCTATGCCGGTAATAGCGCTAAGTTTAACAAGAGTGTCATCTAACGCTAACACGTTTGCATTAAGATTCTTGGCCTTGTTGTAGTGCATGTTGGCTGCCTGAAATTTGGACTGCGGTGCAGCACTGCCCCGACTTAAACGGGTAAACTCCTCGACCATTTCTGTTTGCCCAGTAGCAAATTATTATGCACGTGTAGGGTTAAAAATTTAATCTTCAATTTAGAAGAAACATTGGGATGATTTGCAAGATGATAACTGCAGCACCATTCACAAATCACAAAAATGTCCCAAGAAACACACCCCGGGAGCCATACTTTAAAATTACTTTAAACACGCTATTAATAGCGCTTTGAATGTTTTGTAAAAATGGGAATTAAATTAAGTACGACCGTCCAACAAACACTGCGCTTCCCTCCCCCCTCATTAACCCAACAGTCTGTCTTACTTAAAATGCGGTGTTGGCGTTGGGTTGTGGGAGGGACCCACGAAGTGGCCAAGGGCAGCTTCACAAAATCTTATAATATTCCATATTATTATCACTGGTCCCACGTAATCAGCAAAATTGGTGGAAATCCAATGAGGATATACCTGTATTTGCATTGACTTCCTTCCGCTGGATTTACTCGCACGTATTTTGGTATGCCCGTGAATAGCTTCCACGAGAACTTCATGGATAAAAGCATACTGTTCTTCTGTTTGCACAATGAGGTTTCTGTCACAGCGCAAAGTCATCACATATCCAAACACGTCTGCTGTTTTCTCTGCCGCTACACGCTACAACATGGAGTCTACAGCAATAAACACACCAGTTCTCCCTGTACCGGCATTACAGTGAAGAACCTACAACACAAACAGCTTGAATGAGGAGAGCAAAGGTTGGTGAGAGCACAGGCTTCCCATTAATGTGCGTGGGGGTATTAATTCAGAGCCAACGTCGCCAATTTCGTTTTCCTAAATAAGGGAGTGCCATCATATTTTTGGTCGATGCCATCCCTGCTAACCAAGGTTTTTTCATGGTAGATATAATATATGCTCTGGATAAAATTACAATAAGTCAAAAGATACATTTTTAGTTTCAGAAAGAACAAAGTTTAAGCCAAACGTAAATTCACGGTAAACCCCCGGGAAAGGTTAAGGTTCACTTGTTGAAGATGCATGACTTACGAAAGATTAATAATCAAGATGTGCTCGTAAATGTTTCGGAATTTTGGCGGTTAGGTGTGAAAGTGAAATGGTAAGTGAGAGAAGCTTGCATAAAAAAAGGTTAGAGTTCACTTCTTACTAGTGAATTTCTTTCGTTTTTAGAAGAAACACTTTCTGTATCTGTTACAAAAATCAAAGGTCTCTATTGCGAGCAACTGTTACAACTCGCATTTGTATTTTTGCTTTTGTTGATGCCTACAAGAACTCTTTGTTGCTCGATGTGTACCTGTGTGGAACAGTTTTCCATCTACTGCTATTTTCGCTCCGTCTTTGTCCAGGTTTCAGTCCACAGCCAAAACCTATCTGCCATCACTTACTGCCTAATTATGCCACCCATTGCCACGATTAGCCTATGCTATAATTGGTAATTATGAAAAACCGAATCAGTGGATAATGCAATTCTGGAGTGCTGATTGGCTTAGCCATCATGGTGTATGAACCATTATTATTCATTCAAAATATTTCCCCAATTCTGATTGGCTAAAAGCCTACGCATAATTCACCATAACCAGTTACTGATGAGGAAATTTGGAAGAATTTTGTGTTTACCGAGGAAATGACGTCAAAAATGCAGCCCGCTACAGGTTAATGCATCGTTAACCGAGAAGACCTGGGGACAAGGTTGAGTTGTTTTGGTTGTGAAAACAAAAATGGCCGACCCTTCACTCGTTTCAAGAGTAAGAACTACAGCTGGAACTAGGCGAAATAGTAGCTAAAAACAGCAAAAAATAGCAAGAAGACAACTCGGAGGGCGACATCTGCTATTTGGAGAATAGTTGCGAAGCTGGAAAATCTAAACGTACACGATCGAAGATGAACTTAACATCGATGGAGGTAAGTATGTTTTAGCTATGTTTTTAAACATAATTATTTTGAATGAATAATAAAACAATTATTGAATTCGGCCGGCTTTCGTATCATATGAAGAATTATGGAGATCTCGGCAGTGTGTTATCCGCCTCGGCCGATAACACCCTCCTCGATCTCCATAATTCTTCATAAGATACTCAGCCTCATTCATTTGTTGTTAATTAACCGATTAAAGATTAAATATTCACATTTTCCAACTTACCATAGGCCCCGCATCAGACGGGTTAGCACCAGATTCTTTCCTAACAAACGTTAGCAAAGAAGTAGAGCAGGATGGAACACCATGATCTGGCCATACAGTGTAATGGAACAGATTCACAGTTCGCTCAGCTCTGCTATTGGCTTTCTTTAGACAAAACGTTCGGATAGTGACGTCACTTAACTCTACTGTCTGTGTTAGATCTATTTGAATATCACCGTAAGTGGATCCCCCTCCGAAGCCAATACTGATGGCACTTCACGCGACCTCGCTCTTCCAAGCTTGTTACCTGGGAGGGAATGCATACAGAGTTATAACTCATAAAAGTGAAATTTGTTTTCAACTACTGGTGCATATCTAAACAAGTGGAACAGCCGACAAGAGATGTCTATTCGCCATTTGCACATCTCCCTCAATAAACCTTATGTTCCCCACCCCCCCCCCCACCCCCCCAAAAAAATGGTATTTCAGTAGATTAAAGAGAAATTAAATTTTTTTTTTGAGGGGGAGGGGGTAGGAGGGGGCAAAGAAGTGGTCTTATGGGAGATGTGCCACTGCCAAATATAGCGACAGCATCTTCTTTTGTTAGCAGGCATGGACGTGGGATCCGAAAAATTCGTTTCTACAAAGAGAGTCGTCCCAATCTTTGATTGGCCTACGGTCACTTTTCGAGATCAACAAGAATTGGCCACTGTGCGCATTGTCTGTGGCCTTGAAGCCACTTGAACACATCCAACAACGTCGAATCGGGGAAAATCGCTCTTAAATACTAAGAAAATCTGAAAGGAATTTGTTATTTTCTAGCAAAAGGCGAAAAGAAGTAGTTTCTAGCCATGGGCTAGAAACTATGGGAATTTTTGCACCATAAAATTGCCAACGCCCTATTTATGAATACAAACCATAACAATGGTGTTTGTGGTTTGCTCCCACACCATTCTCCAGAAGTCGTCAACTGTCTCTGGGAGGGGTCCCTGAGCAGCGATGTAAGCCCTCTTTTTTCTATTGACCTAGATACCCTCTGTAAGGGCGTCAGGAAAACTCGGCTATGGTCATAGGCAACAATATTATTGTAACGGTTCTTGAATCTGTTCTCTTGCGCTAGCGTGGCTTTCCAGTTAAAGTCCGCAGAGGGACGAAGAGCACTGTATTCTTGAAAGAACAACAGATCGCCATTTGCATGGAGGCGACGCACGTGACCTTCGAACTCCTCCACGGGTATGGATTCTCCGGGAATATAGTTAGGGTTGTCTGTAAATCAAGATAAGATGAGATAAACTTTGGTGTTAACTTCAGCAGGTTAAACCGGATAAGCTAAAACAGGTTTAACCGGAAAGGGAGTTGAGGTCATCAAAATAGTCTTTGTGAAAGGTTTCAACCCAGGACTCATTTGAAAAGTAGGTTGAGTTTGATCGTCTGGGTGAACGTAGTCCTGAATAGGACTGTTGTTGTTGACAGTGACTGACGTTTCGACAACCTGTGCGGTAGTTATCTTCAGTGTCAAATCTTTATTGGCGAATTACCTGTTACAAACCACGGGAAATTTTCATGAGAAACTTATTCGTTTGAACAGATCTAAGGCTAACCAACAAAAGAAATCTGTATGGTAAATGGGATAATGCCTGAGCTCCGGGGACTTCTTCAAAATAATGACCGAGCGCGTAGAAAAACGCTGCTTTCCATTAGTTTAGAAAGAGCGCGGGTCATTGTTGTCACTGAAGTTCCAACAATCAGGTGAACAATGAACTGCTTTTCCATTTATCAAAAAAATAACCTGTTAAAGAAAAATGATAAAATAAAGAATAAATTATAAATAAAAAACTTAAAGGTGAATTATTATGGGTGTTCAAACTACCAACTAACTAGTTGTCCAGCAAGACGCATGGGAAGTAAATGAATTGAGGGCTAATAGGACAATTATACGATAAAGTCATTTCACTACAACTACCAGAATCGTTCAGTCTGTTGTTCCAGAGATAACACATAAGGGTACATGGAAATTTCCATGTTCCCTTATGTGTTATCTCCTTAAAGGTACATGGAAATTTCCATGTTCCCTTATGTGTTATCTCCCTAAAGGTACATGGAAATGTCCATGTTCCCTTATGTGTTATCTCCCTAAAGGTACATGGAAATGTCCATGTTCCCTTATGTGTTATCTCCCTAAAGGTACATGGAAATTTCCATGTTCCCTTAAGTTTCCCTTATGTGTCATCTCTCTAAAGGTACATGGAAATTTCCATGTTCCCTTATGTGTCATCTCTCTAAAGGTACATGAAAATTTCCATGTTCCCTTATGTGTTATCTCCTTAAAGGTACATGGAAATTTCCATGTTCCCTTATGTCTTATCTCCCTAAAGGTACATGGAAATTTTCATGTTCCCTTATGTGTTATCTCCGTAGAAGGTACATGGAAATTTCCATGTTCCCTTATGTGTTATCTCCGTAAAGGTACATGGAAATTTCCATGTTCCCTCATGTGTTATCTCCTTAAAGGTACATGGAAATTTCCATGTTCCCTTATGTGTTTTCTCCCTAAAGGTACATTGCAATTTCCATGTTCCCTTATGTGTTATCTCCCTAAAGGTACATGGAAATTTCCATGTTCCCTTATGTGTTATCTCCGTAAAGGTACATGGAAATTTCCATGTTCCCTTATGTGTTATCGTCTTAAAGGTAGATGGAAATTTCCATGTTCCTTATGTGTTATCTCCCTAAAGGTACATGGCAATTTCCATGTTCCCTTAAGTGTCATCTCTCTAAAGGTACCTCTGTTTTATCTACCTAAGGTACTTGGGGAATTCCATGTCTCTTTCAAGAACATATTATGCCTTCATTTCTATGGATTTCTTTTTTGCTTATCACTTGAAAACATATCTCTACAAAACACTTACGAAGGACCAAAGATAAAGCTAACAAGAAGTAAAATTCAAGATATTAAAGAAAAAATGTTTCCAATATTCATTTCTTGGAAAAGTGCGTTTGGTAAATAATTTTGTTACAGCAGCTTTATTTTGCAAGAAAATCACTGTTTTAGGATATCGAATTTACCATAAGAATATGTCATTTAGCTACTTCCTAGGCAGTTAAAGATTTGTGCTTCAGAAAAAAAATATATATATATATGGGCAAGGGAAGAAAAGATCTCGAATCTGCCACCCTCAGTGGAAAACAAGCCTTTGTACTGAAAAGCAATTATAATTCGTATTTCTGCTATGGACAGATACATTAATTGGAAAAATCAATTGGAAAACCTACTGTCTTCATCAATGCGAATAGTGAGAGGCTCACTGACATTTCCATCTCCTTTGACAGTAGAGGCAAAAACTGTGACGCTGTAGTTGGTGAGCTCATTAAGACCCGTCAGTGTTGCTTTAGTTGTTGGGGCATTGACTAACTTGATTTGCGGACTGCCACCAGGAAGCGCCAAGTAGGTTATTGTATAACTCAGTATAATGCCATTTTGATCAGCTGGGGGAACATAACCCCACTCAACCATAATACTGGTAGAACTACGAATGCTCAACTTGACATTAGATGGAGGGGCGTTAGGTTCTGTGGAGAAAACAAAAATGCATTTTCAAGACGGTTAGTCGTGCAAGTACTAATTATAATGTAAAAAAACCACAATATCTCTCCAAGGTTGCGTATTCAATACAATGGCCTTTAATCGACAGTTTACCTCGCTGTTGGCATCATCAACCTTTTTTTATTATTTCAATTTTGATATAAAAAAAAGGAGAGCAAAGTTTGATATAAAAATGGTAAAATTTCAGAACGTGATTGCCTCATCATCTTCATCTGATGACCGTATCACAGAACCTAAGCAATCCAAAACCACGCTACTGAACTTTCAGTCAACAACATACCGTATTTTGCTACATTTAAGGTTTAGCTGTGATGAAATACTTTCCGAAACAACGATAAACTTACTATCCTCATCCGTAATTACAATAATAGGCTCGCTAACATTTCCATCCCCCTTCAAAGTAGAGGCAAACACCGTAATGCTGTAGTTGGTGTATTCATTGAGTCCTGTTAGATTAGCTTGAGTTGTTGGAGCATCCACTACTTTGGTCCGCTCAATGCCACCAGGAAGCGCGGTGTAGGTAACTGTGTATCTCAGTATGATGCCATTTTGATCAGTTGCGGGAACATCACCCCACTGAACGAAAATACTAGTAGAACTTACGTTGTGTCCCTGGATCTTTGATGGAGGGGCATTTGGCTCTAAATAATGAAAGAAGAAAAACGACTCATTTTAGACACGGAGATTAACAAACACAACGCAGTCTTACAACGTGTGGTTTTAGTAGTGGGAATCTTGACAAAATAACAGTACAGTGCACTTACTGTCTTCATCAGTGATGACAATGATTGGCCCGCTTTCATTTCCGCCTCCTTTTGAAGTAGAAGCAAACACCGTAATGCGGTAGATGGTGAATTCATCGAGCCCTGTCAGAGTCGCTTCATTTGCTGGAGGATCCACTACCTTGGGTTGTGGTCTGCCATTAGGAAGCGCTGCGTAGGTAACTGTGTACCTTAGTATGATGCCATTCTGATCGGCAGCAGGCACGCTCCTCCATTGAACAAAAATACTGGTAGAACTGGTGTTGTGTCCTTGAACATTGGATGGGGGAGCCTTTGGTTCTGTATTTAAAGGAAATGAGAAAAAAAGTAAAATAGAAATTTAACAGACAGAAATAAGCAGAGAGACATGCGCCGTACGTTTAGCAAGTAACACGTGGTTCTTAAGGCTAAAGGTTCTTAAGGTTCGATTCACGCAATCGAAGACTAAATCTTCGCATTTTGGATGTTGCTTACCTTACAATAAGATTCGACTGTATTACAAAAACTGGGAAGTGTGCGCGATGACGTAAGGGCTTAGCAGAGCGCTAGGCCTTCTAGGAGAGATCCGAAAACGTGTTGTGTCTCTTCCTAGAAAAACGTATGAGTGCGAACCTCGTGAGCCTGTCGGAATCTGGAAAAGTCCCGTGAATCTTAGAGAAAACCTCCTCTTGTAACCTAAGAAACGAGCCTTTGAATACAGTTAAATACAGTTCAGTTCAAATTCGTCTACAGGAAGCCTTATGTGCCATGAGGCACGAAGAAAAGTAGGTGAGGTGAGGTGATAAGGCCCATAAGATGGGTGGTATTTGATAAAGCCTTCAAACCCCTATAAGGGTCCTTGTCGAGTTCACTTCTTGTGACAACTGCCAGTACAAGCGCAATATTTTAACTTACTATCTTCATCCGTGATGACAATGATTGGCTCACTATCATTTCCAGCTCCTTTTACAGTTGAAGCAAACACTGTGATGCTGTAGTTGGTGAATTCGTGTAGATCTGTCAGAGTTACTCCAGTTGTTGGACCAATGAACACCTCGGTTTTTGGAGTGCCACCAGGAAGCATTTTGTAAGTAACTGTGTAACTCAGTATAATGCCATTCTGATCAGCTGCGGGAACATCACCCCACTGAACCAAAATGCTGGTAGAACTTGTGTTGCGACCTTGGACATTAGATGGCGGAGCATTTGGCTCTGGATAACCGGAAAGAAAAAAAAAAGAAAACATTGTTTAAGGAAGACTTTTACACAATCGTAGGCAATCAACACGGGACTAGAAGTCTAAAAGACTAAAGTCGTTCTCTAAAAAAAATGTATTGCAAATGTTACAAGCAGTTTTTTAAGACGCAGAGCGCCAATGGAGACCACCTTCGAGCTGAATGGGCCACTCAGATTTTTACTTTACTTACTTAAACTGTCTACACCGAAAATGTACACTAGATAGTATATTTATTTTTATAATTACGTATTGTTAATTAGATTCACTCGTAAAAAGGTCCTTAGAACTTACTGTCCTCATCTGTGATGACAATGATAGGTACACAATCTTAGGCAATACGGGACTAGAAGTCTAAAAGACTAAAGTCCTTCTCTAAAAAAAATGTATTGCAAATGTTACGACTTAGCTGCGACCCATGAATGCGCAAAACATTTTGGTCCTTTGTAACGTAGAAACTTAGCCAAGGACTGAGAAAAGCTGAGCTCCTGTTGAAATACTTATAATTTACTTGAAGCAATAATCTCGAAATTATTGCAGTAAAGAGCTTTATCTTGAAATAAGACTTACGCACGTCCATTTAATTTTTCTTAACGTTTCTGTCCAAGATTCTAGCTTTAATTTATTGGCCATTTTGTAGTTGCACGATACTAAGTGGTGTTGTAATTAATTGCAATGTGGGTCCGTCATAATCTTTTTGACCTACCAATACCCAATTTGCGCCACAACAAGTTCATTGCGGCCTGTAGAACACTTGCTTGAAAGTAAGGCATACACATGAGCAACCCATCACCCAAATTTACACCGAAATAAATATATAAATAAATAATTAAATTGGGTGAATGGTTTGAAACCAGGAGTCATTTCATGAGTAGGTTGAGTTTGATCGTCCGGGTGAACGCAAACCTGAATAGGACTGTTGCTGTTGACAGAAACTGACGTTTCGACAACCTTCAGTGCCTTAGTCATCTTCAGGGTCAAAGTGAGTTGTATAACGTCAGTTGATGGCGTTCAATTCTGGTTATTGACCTGATTGGTCAATTAAGTTGCGACGTTATTGGTCGTCTTTCAGTTAAGCCGTGATGATATTGGCTATGAAGAATCGTAATGTCATTGGTGCGTTTCGATCCGTCCACTGTCACAGTTAAACAGTCGTTTATTTTTAGTCAAATTGTCAGTTGTCCAGTTGTTCTCTCGTAGTTAGTTTTACTTGATTTCGTCAATAAGTCGTTTGTACGGTGCCGGTTACTGTTGACTACTATTCAGTGGCGTTAGTTCCAAGTCAGTAAACCAGCTTTCTAAACTGAGTCGTTGATAGTAGTCTGTAGAATACGTAATACATGTCGCAGAGTCCCAGTCGATTTGATGTTTCGTCTGTAAATGGTGCTCAGCAATGTGATTGTTGACGTCACCATTTCTCGTCGCTCGTTTGTGTTCGGTCAGTCGCGTGCTAAGGTTTCTGCCGGTTTTACCAATGTAAGTAGCCTGGCAGTCTCAGCATTAATTTGATCTTTTATACTGCTCCCTGGCTGTCCTCCGGTTTGACTTTGTCCTTGACATTAGTAAGTAGTCGTCGTAAAGTGGATATCTCGAGTTATCGGTTTGTGTGAAACACGCATATTGTAAGGCTGTAGTATACGTGCGATAGTTTCAGGGGTGTCTCTGATCTACCCTATAGTCGCTGTTGTAACAGGGCCAGAGTTGACGTTGGTCTGGTCGCACGTATACTACAACCGTACAATATACGTGTTGCACGCAAACCGATAACCACCTTACGACGACTACTTACTACTAAATAATGTTCTACAAGATTTTGGCGCGAACTTTCATTTATAAATAATTGCTGTTTTTATGTATAACTCACAATACGAAATAACAACTTACTGTCTTCATCTGTGATGACAATAGTAGGCTCGCTAACATTCCCATCTCCTTTTACAGTTGAAGCGAACACTGTGATGCTGTAGTTAGTGTATTCATTGAGTTCTGTCAGAGTTGTTTCAGTTGCTGGAGCATCCACTACCTTGGGTTGTGGACTGTTACCAGGAAGTGCCGTGTAGGTAACTGTGTAACGTAGTATAATGCCATTTTGACCTGCTGCGGGAACATCACCCCACTGCACCAAAATACTGGTAGAACTTATGTTGTGTCCGTGGACATTAGATGGGGGAGCACTGGGCTCTGAGGAACAAAAGATAAAGACTGGAGATAAGGGAAGATTCATCGAAAGATTTATTCCAAAGGGCCTGTAGCAATGTAACAATAACGAAACTCAAGCACAAAAAGCATTTCTTTTCCTAAGCTACTGGAATTTTTAAGGGATATCATTATGATATTGCAACGAAACTGTTGCGACCGCGCTTAACTCGGCCTTCCAGAGAAAGAGAAAACGATCATTCCAGATCCAATGCAATTTTCTGCATTTAAGTTTCAAATATCAAACAACAACAAACTTACTGTCTTCCTCTGTAATAACAATAATAGGGGCGCTAACATTTCCATGCCCCTTTGAAGTTGAAGCGAACACTGTGATGCTGTAGTTAGTGTATTCATTGAGTCCTGTCAATGTTGTGTCAGTTGCTGGAGCATCCACAACCTTGGGTTGTCGACTTCCATTAGGAAGCGCTGTGTAGGTAACTGTGTACCTTAGTATGATGCCATTCTGATCGGCAGCAGGCACGCTCCCCCATTGAACAAAAATACTGGTAGAACTGGTGTTGTGTCCTTGAACATTGGATGGGGGAGCCTTTGGTTCTGTATTTAAAGGAAATGAGAAAAAAAGTAAAATAGAAATTTGACAGACAGAAATAAGCAGAGAGACATGCGCCGTACGTTTAGCAAGTAACACGTGGTTCTTAAGGCTAAAGGTTCTTAAGGTTCGATTCACGCAATCGAAGACTAAATCTTCGCATTTTGGATGTTGCTTACCTTACAAT